AATACGAGCCACTTAATCTTCACACAAATCTATAAGGTAGGTGCCACTATCACCTCTTTATTACAGATGAAGAAACTGAGGCAAGGAAGGCACTCTACCCAAGGTCACACAATTGGAAGTCAGCAGGGCTGGCTTCTGCTCTCTCCCACTCACTGCCTTCCTCGGGCTCACCATGGCCTCTCCACATCGTCTCTTGGTGAGAGTCCCAAGCCAGCCCCTGCCCTTGATCACTGAATGGGCCAGGATTGGGGACCAGGGCAGTATCTCGGCCCTGGATTCAGGACGTAACCACGCCAGCCCAGCGCTGAACCTTTGGCACCCAGTGTTCTGCAATCTCTGGAATCACAGAGGAGCCGCATCCACCCCACCCAGAGCCTTGGCACTGGACTTGCGAGATTCCAGAAAACCCCAGCAGAGAGGTCCCCAGTGAGCTTCCTGGGGCGAGGCCAGCCAGGACGCAAGGCAGCAGCAGGAAAACCTCACTCAAATTGCCACTGATTTAGGAGGGGCAGAAAGTCACTTGCTAATCTGATGAGCTGGAAACACCCCTTCTGCTGAGGATTGTCAGGGACCTCGCTACAGGCTGAGTGTGTTTCCAGAAACACGACCAAGGGTCTGATATCTGAGGCAGAATCTTTAAGATTCAATCAGAAAGTATTGCCAAGGTATCTGTGAATGAATTGTAGTTTTCATTTATTGAGTTTTCTTAGAGCATGGCCTTTCCTACTTGGCGATAAATGGAATTCAATTGAAGAATCAATGCTTTTCTAAATGAAGACTTTGGAAAATTAATTATTCTTCCAGCTTCGGGTGTAGCTTCTGGGTGGAGCTGGGAGGCTTTGATTTAAGATGCTGTGCTGTTTTTCCTCCCCTGTCCCCTCCTGGCCCTCTCCTAGCATAAGGTGGGCTCATCCTCCTGAATGGCTCCCTTCCTCCTAGAGCGATGCTCTGAGTTCCCCGTCTGCTGTGCTTGTCTCATGGATGAGGAAACCGGGGCACCAAGAGATCAGCTAACTCTGGAAAGCCTCAGGACTGGGCAGTGAGGCTCACATGGAAGGAGGTACAGGAGACGGGGCTCTGGAGAGCAAGATCCACCTTCAGGAAAGGGCTTGGCAGTGACTAAAACAGGGGCCAGGGTCCTGCCCAGGGAACCCAACTTCTGTGTAGGACAGCAACTCCAGAGAGACTGAGTCCTGGCAGTGATAAAGTGGACAGCCTCGATTTCCAGGTCACAGCCTGTGCTGCAAAGTGTAATGATGAAAACAACATGGGCCCCACTCAGGGGCAGGGAGAGAGGTCAGTGGGACAGACGACAGGTTGGGAAATAAAAAAACAGATCCACACATACAGGACATGGGGACTGGACTATGGTTCAGCTGTGTCTTTTATTGGAAGTGCTTAGGACAAGAAATGTTTTGGATTTGGGATTTTTTTCAGATTTGGAAATATTTGGGACCCAAGCCTAAAGATAAAATTTGTTTCTGTACAGCCCAAAAGTAACTTTGTGCAGTATTTTTAGTGTACTTACCTATAGAGCACAACTCATCAGCTGAGGTCAGGTATAGTTTTCCATGTGTAATATCATGTCTGAGCTCACAAAGTTTCAGATTATGGAGCATTTTGAATTTTTTGAGAGTGATACTCTCAATCTGTAGAAATGAGTCATTTAAAATCAGTGGATGGACACTGATATATACCTCAGCAGCACAGCACCTACTTGAAAAGTGTGAAGTCCTGAGTTCAATTCCCGGTACAAAAAAATTAAAAACAATCAGTGGGGGAGCTGGATATAGTGGCATATGCCTGTAATCCATCTCTCTGAGAAGCCAAAGCAAATGAATCACAAATTTGAACCCAGCCTGAGTAATTTGGTGACTTAGCAGCTCTCTCTTTCTCTCTCTGTCTCTGTGTTTGTTTTTTTCTGTCTCTCTGTTTCTCTCTCCCCCGTGTGTGTGTATGTGTGTGTGTGTGTGCACGCATGCACACGTGTGTGTGTGTAAAAGAATGAGCTATCAAAGGTTAAAGCAATTAGCTAATCATTATAAAATTAAGTTAGATCCTATGTCACACGGTTCACCAAAATAAATTCCAGGTGAATTAACACAAGTATCTGTAGGTATGTTAGGAAAAGCACAGGAAAATGTGTTAATGATGTTGGTTTTCTTAATGGATACATGGGAAGCAAAAACTAAAAAAAAGAAAAACTGATAAATTTGACTAGATCAGCATTAAAATATATGACAAAAGCATTGTTATTAAGTGCTAAAACTTGGAAGTGATCAAATGTCCTTGGTAGATGAAGGATTAAAAAAATACACAAGTGTGGAACATCCTGACAGTGGAATATTACCCAATGATAAAAGAAAATCAGCTATTTGGCCATGGAAAGACAGGAATGACCCTTAAATGCACATGGCTTTCTACAAAAAGCCATTCTGAAAGAGCCATGGACTTTATCATTCCAACTATGTGACCTTTGGAAGAAGCATAGATAGCCATGGAGACAGCAAAGTGTTCAGTGGCTGCTAGGCCCTGGGGGACAGTGGGGAGAGAGGGATGAATGGGGGATTTTCATCACAAAATATTCTAAAGTATATGGTAATGGTAGCCATGCCACCATACTTGCGTCAAAACTTAGAATGTACAGCACCAAGAATGAACCTTAATGTACTATGGACCATCTAAGAATCAGCTCATCCGCTGTAACAAACACGCCACAGTAACACAAGGTGTAAATGATAGGGCACTCGTGGATGTAGGACAGGGTTTTATGGGAACTTTAATTTCCACTCAGTTTTCCCCTTATCATAAAATTACTTTAAAAATAGAAGGTTTATTAATTTAAAAACTGGCACACAGGGGAAAAAACAAACAGTAGACGATTTGCCATCTGTGTCATAGACAGGATCAGTATCCAGTATACATAAAGAATCCCTATCAACTGATAAAGAAATAGATTTTTTAAATGTGCACAAAGAATATTGACAAAAGTTATAAACAGGTACCTGCATAGAAGGTGAAATAAAAATGTCTAATAAAAGTGTGAAAAATGTCCAAGCTTATCAGTAATAAGGGAAATGTAAAACAATGTTAGGGTGTCAGTTTTCACCATGTGACTGGCAGCATTCTTAATGCTTTAAAATATTACATACAGGTGAGGAAATCAGTGGGTACCTGAGGGAGTTCCTGAGGGGACCCCAGCACGTGCACTGTCACCCAGTCTCCCTAGATGAACTCCCCCAACCCTGAAGAGCCACCTTGCTCTGAGATCAGAGAATATTGCCAAGTGTCCTTAGGAGGCTGACTCCAGATCACACTCAAGTCCTGTGCTCGTGGCTGGGGTCGCGGGATGGGAAGGAGGTGCACAGAGGCCTGCTGGGGGTGCTGGCTCCACTCCTGAGCCCCACTTTGCACTTCTCTCTGCTTTCAGAAGCCGCACGTCAGTAACCTGGTACTAACCGTGAGGGGAGCATTTGCTCTACAGAAATGGCAAATGGTGTACATTAGGGCTCCCCCCCCCCAACTGTTAGTACCATGTGACTAAACATTTACTACACACGCCGAAGCATAGGATATGTTCCCTGGGCTGAGTCTCAGGACTCGGGCCCTCATTTCCTCTCTGTATCTCTCTTTCTTACCTCCTCTCCTTTTCTCATGTCTCTGCCTCAGGGACAGGAGAAGAGCCATGGCGGTGAGGGAAAAGAGAGATGCTTGCTGGGCAGTTTGGAAGAACTCTGGTTTTGAGAATGTGGAGCTAGGTCTGTTGCTACTGAGCTCTCCACACACCCCGTGTGACCTCTACCACTTTCAGCTTCCATAATTTCCCTTAAAAAAGAGGACTAACTACAGCCAGGGGCCACTACAGATAGCCTCGAAGATGTCCTGGGGTCTCAGCCTCAGGGAGCAACGGACACATAAACTATGATACAAATGACTGCCTTTGGCAATGTGGAGTGAGCAACATGAACAGCAGGACATAGCCCTGATCGTCGCACTTGCTTCAGAAGACTGTTACAAAGATTAAAATAACGAAGGACAGAAAGTCTGACCGAGCACTTGGTATAAATACAAGGTGGCACCCTTGAGGGCTCTGATGCCACAGTCCACACCCTTCCGCTTCCCCCCAGAGAACTCACATTAATGCTGGTTGTGCTATAATTTGTACCCACTCAGCACTGATCTCAAGGCAGTCTTACCCTGAGTCATCAGTGATTCTCTGGACCTGCTACCATCCTCTTTGGCGGGTAGAAGGATTTAAGGCTCAGACAGGTGAAGTACCCTGCCCAGAGCCACACAAGAATAATGTGACAGAAGAGGATTCACACTCAGATCCCCTGGGATCAAAATTCCCCAAACCAGTTTGCTCTTGAACTCCCAAAACATCATATTAAAATCATGACACACATATACACAAAAGTTTCACACAGTGATATTTCCTCCTGCCTCATTTGACAGCACCAGATAGTTCATCTCATTCTCTCTTTTTTCTTTAACATGCTATTTTCAGAATCTATTACATTAATTTCATGACCCACTGGTCTAATGAGTCAAGACCTGCAATTTGAAAAACACTCTCTAAGTTGTTTCCCTCAGGTATCACTCTGCCATGACTATTGGCTAAATCTGGCCCCTTGCCTGTTGTTATAAATAAAGTTTTATTGGAACACAGCCATGCACAATCATTTACGCATTGACTCTGGCTCCCTTTGTGCTACCTTGGCAGGGCTGCTGAGTGCAGCAGAGAGCACACAATCCACAGATTGCAGGCTATTTTACTTGCCTGGCCTGTACCCGATCTCTCTCTGCCTCCTCTGCTTTTGCTTCTCTCAGGCGGCCCTCGGCCCTGTGTGCCCAACTCAGGTTCCTTGGCCTGCTCAGAAGCTGCCCCAGGCCTGCCACGTTCTGTCTTTCCCCAGAGTCCCTAACAGGCAAGCAGGCAGGCAAGGGTCTGGGGTGGGGATGAGCCCCGTCTCCTTAATGTCCTGTGTTCCTGCCTGCAGGTCTCCTGGGGATGGTCGCCCACATGATGTACACGCAGGTGTTCCAGGTCACCGTGAGCCTCGGCCCTGAAGACTGGAGACCCCATTCCTGGGACTATGGATGGTCCTTCTGGTAAGTGGCTGCTGACCCGCACGGTGAGAGCACTTTCAGAGTCCTGAGGCTCCTGGGAGGTGGGGCACCTCTTATCCCAGGCACCTGGAAACACTAGAGTGGGATTGGTAGAGGACCTCGTCTCTCTCTATCCCCCAAACTCAACTCAGATGATGAGTGTTACATTTTCAATTGCTTGCAAACAAATCAAAAGAAGGATAGGATTGTGCCCGGTGAAAACTACATGAAATTCAAATTGCATTGTCCGTAATAATAAAGTTTTCTTGGAGCGCAGCCCTGCTCACTCTGTATGTTATCTACAGCTGCTGTCACGCGGTGGTGACAATGCCAAGCAGGTGTGACAAAACCAACTCTGCTCTGGAAAATAGAAACAAAAGCTGGCAAGAAGAGTCTAGTAAGGCCAGAGGGTCCCTGGGTGTCCTGAGGGAGCAGAAGGGTCCCCTTGAGGGGACGGTCAGTGCCTGAAGCAGGCACCGTGTGGACAGGAGAGGCAGAAAAGTCAGGGCACTGCTGTATGAGTAGTGGGATCCACGCTCACCTGAGCTGGGAGTACTTCTTGGAGTGTGTGGCAGAAAAGCCAGTGGACCCAGTCAGGGTGCCCTGGATTGGAACACAGAACCCACGTCCATCAGTGTAAGCATGAAGGAAACCCATTGGCTCATGGCTCTGGGCGTGTGGTGGCTGGGTGCCAATTCTCTCCCTCTGTGGTGGTCTGGCCTGGCTTTTCCATGTGTTAATTTGTCCCCGGCCCAGCTTCCCTCTAGGTGGCGAGGAAACTTCACCTGAGTGAAGTTTCTGGTGATGGAGTCCCAGAGAACCCAAGGTGGGGAAAAAAGGGCTGGCCTGTTGGGTGCAGGTCCTTTTCTCTCTCCTGTATCCTCACGGCAGCTGGGGAAATGTTGGCTTAGCCCAGCCAGGCCCTCCTCTGGAGCTAGGAATGAGTCAAAACTCAAATAGGGCATGGATGGAAGGGATGGTAGGTGAGCAGCCAGTGTCTGCCTCAGGCATAGCTGGATCCAGGTGATCAGGTGATTTCACTTGGAACTCAGCCGTTCTCTCTCCTTGACTATCTCTGTTCACTCTGTGTTAACTTCATTCTCTAGCAGCTCTTCCCCTAAAGATGGTCACTATGAACAGTTTTGGGTTTAGAGCTTACAAATGTAGTAAACCCAGCAGAGAGGTGGGGTTTCTTTCCAAATTTTCCAATGAAAATCCTGGTTGTGATCCCTAAGCCAGTGATTTAGACCCTGGGGATACAGGACCCCTCTCAGGGCCTACCCTAGGTCAGCAGGGTCAAGCCCTTGGCAGGGAGAGGAGAAGTCCCCAGTGGTGGCACAGTGGCTGTTAGCCAGTGAGGGAACACACACTGGAAAGACCCCAGGACCCAGTCACCCACCACTCAGGCTGTCCAGATCTGGGCCTGGTGCTCGGGAACCTGGTGGCCCTTTTGGTTACTTAGCACCTTCCCTGGGGACTGCCTCCAGGACAGCCCTTCTTCGAGGAACACAGCAGGGCTGTGACAGCCGTGTCACATGGGGAGAGACAAGTGACCAAGCCAAGCTCTGACCCTGCTGCATTGGGGTATGGAGGGGCAGCTCACAGAAAGCTGCAGGGTCCCAGGAAGAGTTCTGTGGGGGGAAACTGGGCAGAAGGCCACGCGGTTGTGTAAATCCTGGAGGGAGATGAGCGTCCTGTGGGAGGTGTCAGGACAGAGCAGGAGGGCAGGCAGAGGGTTTCAGACCTCTGGGTCTCCTCTCACTTCTGCCCCTCCCCACTCTTCAAGGGTGGCTCCACCCTTTAAAGGCAAGGAGACCTTCATCTGTTAACACCAGCCCCATTCTCTAAGCAGGGAGCCAGCTCTAATACCCCAGAGAGTTCCCTTCAAACCCTCAGCCTTGGAAGGTGGTCAGCTTGCCCTAGAGAGGCTCATAAAGGAGGGGAACTCCCATTGTTGATTGTTGACCGAATGTGTAATGACCCTGATGTGTCATGAATCACTACAGAGCTATGAGGTAGGTACTTCACAGAGTACAGAGGGCTCCTGGAGCCACCTACATACCAGCCTATTGGGGTTAGAGGGGGGGATTTGAACCCAAGCAGTTTGGCTCTGACACAGTGGGTTGAGAGGATGACTCATGGGTATGCCGAGCCCCATGTCCCATGCAAAGCAGCTTTTCTATATGCACCAGCTCCTTTTTTTCCTTTTGTGACACTGGAGACTGAAGCCAAAGCTTTCACAGTGAGCTACCTCTTTTGTCCCCTTTTATAAATTTCTTATTTTGAGACATGGTCAGTGATCACTAAGTTACTAAATTGCCCGGGCTGAGCACAAACTTTCCTGCCGCAGCCTCCTCGTGTGCTGGGATTATGGGTGTGCCCACCACACCTGGCTCTGGCTTTCTCACGTCACTGCTACCAGTGGGAGCTTTAATATGCACAGTGGTCTTGTGTTGCATAAGGAGACTCAGTAATGTTAGGTCCAACAGGTTTCTGCCGCCCCTCCCACCCCCCTCCTCCTGGGCTCAGAGTCCCACAGAACCTGCTGGTGGCACCCACAGGCCTTTCTTTCTTAGGAGACCACAGCCTCCTGCCCTGTGGCAGTGCTCCAATCCACTCTTCCCCTCCACGGAGCCCTGGGAGCAGTTTTCACTGCTCGAATTAGGGTCTCACAGGGCTGTGTCCCGCCCCCTCTCTTATTTAATAAGTGTGAGGCCACCTGTCACAGCCCTGGCCCCAGAGAGGAGATGGGCTAACGTCTATCCCAGCAGGAGAAGGATGAGGCTGAGGGGTGGGGCTTCAGAGCTTCAGTTTTGGGGAGGGATGCATCAGAGGAAGTCAGAGGCCCCTCTTGTACAAGTCTGGTGGCCCTATGTCCGGTGAGAAGGGCATGGAAGATGACGCTTTGGGATCGGCTCTGGCCCTTGCCACCTGTGAATGTGGCCAAGCCACTTATCCCTCTGTGCCTCAACACCCGCAGATGCGAAATGGGGTGGCCCATTTTCACCTCAGGGGCTCTCACAAGCAGTGTCTAGTTCTCTGCTGCATCACCCTAAAATCTAGTGGCTGAAAGTAAAACTGTGTATTATTACCTTGTAGTTGGGAAGGTTGAGTGGGCTCAGCCTGAAGATGTCATGAAACCCCAGTCCACACTGACTGGGGCTGAGTCACTGGGGACATGATCAGGTAGGGATCCGTGGTCTGGGGGTGGCTGCCCCAGCATGGAGGCTGGTCCCTGGGAGAGTGACCCAAGGACATTGGAGAGTGCCAGAGGACAGGAGGAGGAAGAGGAGGAGGGGGAGGCTGCCAGAGTTTGGCACAAAGCTCCGACAGCATCACTCTGCTATTTTCTGTTGGTCACAAGTGACAGGGCCAGGTTCAAGGGGAAGCGAGAGCCCCAGGCAGGAAGGATGCTCCCTGGGCCATCTTTGGAGAGCAGCTACCCAGAAGTGAAAATGAAGTAACGTAGAGAGGCCTTGGCACAGGGTATGTGCCCCACAATTGACAGATGCACTAGGCTAGTACCCAAGGCCTCCAAGCCCCAGCTCTGTCACCTCCAGAACAGGAACAATAGCAAGGAGTGTTTCCCAGGGTTGCTTTAAGAGTTGTGTGAGACCAAGCTCTTAGAGTGCCTGATTAATGGCATTGATTCTGAAGGATGCCAGGGCTTTGGGCCACTTTCATTTGCTGAGAGGCATGTCGTCCAGATGCCCAAGGGCCCCCATGCCCTCCTTTGGAGAGTCCTGGTGCTGCTTCTCTCTCTGACTCTGTGCCTCACTCTCTCCAGCTGGAATAAGGCCCTGGTAAGAAGGCCCGGGGTTTGATGAGGGCTGGCGACACTAGCTTCGCCAGGCACAGTGAGAGGCTCTTTACCAGCCCTAAGCTGCCTCTGCCTGTCCCTGGCTCCCAGGGTGAAGTCACAGTTCCCACTTTTAGGGATCAGGAAGCAGGCACCCAGGGTCAGTTCTGCTGCCCAGAGTTGGTCACCCAGTTAGCTCCAGAGGCTACTGACTGCCTGCAGCCCTGGCTGAAAACACTGGCGGATATTTTGTTTGCCCTGCCACAAATTTTTTTAAATTTTGTATTTATTTTCTAGCATCTAAAAAGATACAGTTTTTTGCCTAACAGCCCAGCATTGTGCTTCGCATGGACTGGTGGAAGGTCTGTCTGTATGTGAGCCGCTAGGCCAGTGGGGCCAGGCAGCCAAGTGATCACAACTGCACCTTCTGATGGGCGTGCAACCCAGCTCCCCCCAGCCCCTGGTGCCTAGTGCTTACCCACACTTTCCTCCCTTGGGTCACCTGCCTGACCCGGTCTGGCCTGTGACCCTGTCAGCTGTCCTGGTGACGCCAGGAGAGAGGGAAATGAGCCCTACACAAATGCTGGCTGCTTCTGTATCTAACGCAACAGAAAAATGGAAACCAGGTGCTCTTTCATCCATACGCGTATAAAACTGTCCCAAAGTCACTCTGCAGACTGAGGGTAGTGGGACACTGGAGTTTAGGTCATAAGAGCTAGAAGGCATTTGGCCCAGGTCCCATAGCAAGGGCAGCAAGCTGGGCGGGCCCCAGAAGGTCCTCTTTCTCATCCTGGTGGTGCCTCTGGTGCCATCTCTGTGGAATTCCTGGCCACACTGCTGCCCTCCTCAACTCTCCGTCTCTGTGACTCAGTGGGAGCAGCAGGCCTTGTTTGTTCCTTGTTGGGGACTCTGGGCCACCCCTGTCCTGTATGCAGGCTGAACTCACATTGCAGTAGGATAGTTCCTCAGGGAGCCGCTCTCCTGCTGTGACCTTAAAAAGCCGGGGCTCCCAACATCACTGGGAGGACTTTGCTGTGTCTGCTGGTGCCACTGGCAGGAGGCTGTGTGGTCATCAGGCACTTGCCCTTGCCTGTGTCCCTGAGGCAGGTGGCTCTGACCTCCTTTTCTCTACAACTGGAGCAAGGAAAGGGATGTTGTTACCCAAGATGACGTGAAGAAAGGACCTGGGCCCCTAGGGCTGACT